TTCTGATTGGCGATTGGTTGAAAGAGTTAAGTTACTATCTGAAGGCCTGGAATCAATAAAAAGGAGTGTCTGGGTTAAGGTAAGGCCTGTGGAGACCAAGGTCCTTGTTACATGGATGAAATCTCACAGGTGTCTGCCCTTAGAGGCAATACATGGCAAATGTTTCCTATTCAGACCTTCACAAGGCACTTGATTCTCAGCCAGTCTCCTCAAGATCAGAAAAGGAGCTGGAAAGGGAAGGAGAGTCTGCAGAATATGAATTTCCCTGCAAGACACAGCTTTGTGGGCCATTTCAAAATTTGTCAAAGTGATGTATTTTGGGGTAAAATACATTGATGCTTTGAGGGCCTGCTGTCACGTGATGCTATGCCAGCATCAGATTGGAACTTGCTGTCTTACTGGTATAGAGTCTGCTCTGTCAGTCTAATACTCTGTTTTAATGTCAGTCTGGTTAGCTGCACCTGAACTCCAAAGGGAGGTGGGTGTAATGAGGCATGTCCAATCCCCATCCCTTCGTGGCCTGAACTCGTTTTTCAGCTTGCTTTGGAATCCCCCTGGTGGAGAGGAGGGGTCCATTCAGTGGGTTGAGAAAGCTTAGAATTTTATTTTTGGTTTACGCTATGTGAAGCAAAAATTAAAGTATTTAACCCTGATAGGGTTATTTTAAAGCTGCAGGAATCAAGGCAGGTTGCTGTGGGTAAGAGGATAGACGGGCAGGTCATGTAGCAGGACGAGCTGCAGACAGAACCCCTCAGATACCGGGTTAAGGAAGAATTTGGCTTTATTTGGCCGGGAGCTTCGGCAGACTTGCGTCTCAAGAACTGAGCTCCCTGTAAGGCAGAGTTCCTGGCTCTTTTTAAGGGCTTACAACCCTAAGGGGTCCACGTGAAAGGGTCGTGCTAGATAGAGAGCACATGTGGCTAGAGTGGGGGGGTTAATCTTTTAATCTCAGACCTGAGGTCATCAGTGGCACTGGCTGGTCTTGCCACTGACTTCATTCCTGTTGTTTTTCAACTTTTCCTTCTTCAGAGACAGGAGACAGTAAAAGAAATGGCCTCGCTCCTCAGTCAGAGCAGAGTCCTGAGCACCCAGAAATGCCAGGTGATGGACAAACGCTTGGGAAAAAAAAAGACCTCAGTCAGACACAGAAGCATGAGCTTTAAAAGAAAAAATAAGATATTGAACTTCACCAACAAATAAGCATTTCTGGTCTTCGAAAGACACTTAAAATGAAAAGGCAAGCCATTGACGAGGAAAATATTCAGAATAATGGATTTGATAGAGGGCTGTATGTAGAACATATAAAGATCTTTTGAAATCCAGGAATCTGACATGAAGATGGTAGCCAGCCTGACACACAAAGGAACCTGAATGGCCGACAGACAAGAAGGGAACCCTCGTGGCCGATGGGGACAGGAAGGGAAGTGAACGTGAACATCTCAGTGGGGATACCGTTATCACCACTGGAATAGTCCAATTAAAAACATGGACACCAAGTATTGGTGGGTGAATGGAGTGGCCGGAACCATCATACACAGCGATGGGAGCTGCACCCTTTGGAAATCATTTCACAGTTTGTGCTCCATCCTGGCCAAACCCACAGCTGGAGTCTTTCCAAAAGCCGTGACGGGAGTTTCCACCAGGGAGTGCCTCAGACCATCCTGAGATGGGGCTGGTTGGGATTCCAGGGAAAGAGGCGATCGTTGCCAGGGTGATCTGTCCAGAGCACTTACTAGGGGATCTGGCATAAGGAGGGCTGCAGTGTATCCTCAGGACAGATGGGACAGACAGCATATCTTTGGGACAGAGAGCAAGACGGGGGTTCCACCCAGGTCTCTCTGCAGCGAGGGGGTGGGTGTGGAGTTGATACGAGAGTTTAAGGAATTTGGACCAGGGTTGCTTTGTTTCAGGGTTTGGGGCAATGACCTAAACACCTTTATCAGTGCCTGGAAATGTTCACGGCCCAGCTGGAGTTCAGGCCTGCAGGGAAGACTTGCAACTGGCCGAGCTGCAGAGTGGTCAGGGCACAGAAAGAAAGCTGGAAGCTGGGGACACACCTGCCGTATGACCCAGCCGTTCACCTTTACCTGGGAGAAATGGCACCACCTGGCTGAACATACCTGCCTATACACCCGTGAGTCCTCCTGGACAGGTGATGTGACCTCTTGTAGCCTTGGAGGAGCCTGACACTCTCATGGACAGGCCAAGGGGTTTGCCTGGGCCCTGTGGATACAGAGCCCCTTGAGTTGGGTTTCCCTATGCAACCCTGACCTCCTGGGGGCCCACAGCACTGCAGTCCTCCCCGCCCACCAGGAACCCACAGCACTGCAGCCCCCCCACCCCAGGGGCCCACAGCACTGCAGCCCTCCCTGCCCCACTGGGGACCCACAGCACTGCAGCCCTCCCTGCCCCAATGGGGACCCACAGCACTGCAGCCACCCCCCCCCACCGGGGACCCACAGCACTGCAGCCCCCCCGCCCGCCACCGGGGACTCACAGCACTGCAGCCCCCCTACCCCGGAGACACACAGCACTGCAGCCACGCCCAGGCCACTGCCTCCGAAGACAGGGCTGCTATTTCTGTGAACAGACACTCCTTCCAGATATCGGTGGTTAATGGCTGGGAAGTGACCGCCCAAGCAGAAGCTGACCCTCTTTATGAAGGGGGCCACAGATCACCCCGAAACAAATCCACAGAACAGCCAAGGCCACATTGGAACTGAGTGGGGGGCCAGGCCTCCCTGACCCCGCTGGCTCTATTGGGAGGATTCAGGGTGGAGCTCTGCTGGGCTCAGTGGCCTTCACAGCCGGGGTCCTACGGGCAGTTCTGTGATCATAACCTGGAGGCCACAGTCCACACCCCGGCTCCAGCAGGCCCAAGTCACTTGTCCGTGGCAAAGGCCTGGCCTTGCTTCAGGCCCCGGGGACTCTCCCCCTGCCCGCTGTTTCTTCCCGAGTAACAGAGGCAGGAGAGCCGGTGAGCCACATGCTGGGTGCCGCAGCAGGGGACACTCAAGCCTGGCGCCCCTCCGCCTCTCCGTGGTCTCTGACCTTTTTTCTCCCTGCCTGGGCAACCTCCATTAGGCTGGGGAGTCTTTTCTTGACCCCTGGATTAAATTCCTAATCAGGAATGACCCGGAAGAGGTCTTACGAGTCTTTCCTCAAGAGAAGAAAGTCTGTCCCTGAGTATCAGGAAGTGGCCCCGTCCCCTGCACGGCACAGTCTCTTCCGTGACCGGCAGCTCACAGCGGAGGAGCTGGCGGCCCCCACAGGCCACTGCCCCGAGGTCTCCACGAGAGGGCAGGAGAGCTCTTCCCCGGAGCTCTGCCAGGGGAGCAGGAGAAACGCAGCTCCGCCAAGCACAGCATGGATGTGTCCAGCAGGGAATGAAGAGAGGGGCCCCAGCACAAGAGAGAAGTGCACACTGGTCGGCCCCTGTCGGAGTCTCTCGTGTCCCCAGCGACCCCTGAGAGCAGGCCCTGGGCCTCTGTAGCCCCTCCTGGAGCCACTCCTCAGCTGCTGACCTGCTCCCAGCGCCTCTGCGCCCCGCCCAGCTCCCTGCAGAACCTCACCTGAGGGGAAGGAGGCCCTGTTTGGGCTCAGACACAGCAGGTGCAGCTTGTGGTCCTGGGGCCACACCTGTTAGAGCCCATCCTTCCACCGCTGCTGGGCCCTGAGTGTCGTCCGTCTCCGCAGAACTCAGCAGGGTCAGCTCTGGGCACTCCAGGCCCCCAGCCCCCTGAGTGAGCCCTGGGCCCGAGGTAGATTCAGGTCACAGGCCCCCCGGCCAGAACACCCACAGCAGGTGGATATGTGGGGACTGGATGTGGGTCCTCTCCTAAGAGACGTGCAGATGGGGAGAGGCCGGGCAGGTCTCAGCTGGAGCATCTACCCGTCACCACCTCGTAGCCTCCTGGCCCAATGGGGGTGGCCCTGGGAGCAGGATCAGCAGTGAAGAGCAGAGAAAGGTAGTTGGAGATGTCACCATTGCCCCCCGAGACCAGCCTGCCATGGAGACGAGGGAGCTGTCCCTTGGCAGAGGGGGGCTGGCTAGTGGGAGGGACAGAGAGTGGACTGACCGAGGACCGCTGAGAGAGCAAACGCCAGGGACCCCGTGCAGGACCGCTTCTCTGTTTGCACAGTGAGTTACCAGGTTCATGTGTTTGGAGTTTCTGGACTCATGGCAGAGTTCCACCCCTGCACATTGCAAGTCCCCAGTAATCAGATCCTGTCTTTTGTGCCTGGACGTGCACAGGGAGGGGACAACTTTGTAAGTCAGTGGCAGGGCAGGGAGTTCCGGTTCTCCAGGGCCAGAGGCTGTGCTTAGAAGGATTTCTTAGCAGGAGCTTTGGGGCCCCCAGTCAACACTTCCCCACAGACAGCCTGGCCAGCTTTGTGGACGGGAGGAGGCGCCCAAGGGTCCCAGGCCACCAAGTGACCAAGACATGAAGGCACCCAGGATTTCCTGGGGGTGCACTGATCTCAAGGAAGCCATGTGTGGTCAGATGGGGGAACCAGCGCCCCAGGGGGCCTGCAGCACAGCAGGGCCTGCCCTCCTGGGTGAGACTGGTCGGCGTCTGTGAGGATCTGTTCTCCCAGGGGCCACACCAGCCCACCTGCCCTGAAACAGAACCCGAGCCTTCTGCCTAGGGGAGCACCTGGGCACCTGCCTCCTGTCCTGCCCTGGACACATCCCAGCGGCTGCACATGGGGAGGCACAGCCTGGGCTGGGGGCCAGGGGGGCACTGTGGAGACACTAGACCTGGGGGTGACAATGCCTGCTCAGAACTTCCCCCCACACCGGGGCTTCTCCAGCCTGAGCTCTCCTGGGGAAGGCAGGGCCTGTCCTTCCTCAGCACCGTGGGAGGGAGGCAAGGCCTGCGGTTGAAGCACCCCCAGTACGGGACTCCAGGAGAGAAGGTACCACATCTCAGGGAATGAAAACAGAGACTGGGCTGCCCAGATGCACTCGGTGGCTCAGAAATCATTAGAAAATGTTCTGAGCCCCCGATTTTGGCTCTAAGAGGGACTGACCGGCTCATGACCGCTCCCCCGTCTGTGCCTCGAGAGGGGAGTGTTCCACACTGGCGGCAGCTTTCCCTCCAGGAGGAGCTTCACAAACATCCGCTCTCTGCGGGGTCGCCTCTCCGTGGCCTGGGGCCGCTGTCGGAGGCAGGCTCTCCAGCTGCCGTCATCTGGGAAATGCGGGGGGCGAGCGGGGTCACGGATGGGGCTCACTGGGGACTGAGCATCTGTCCCGCGGGACTCTCTGAGATGGAGACGCTGGCAGAGGTGAAAAGTGCGTCATGTGCTTCGCTGAACCCGGCTGCGTATTTATGCTTGGAGGGCTGGTTTCAAGGACTCCTCTTCTCCCTCTCCAGTGATGGCGTCAGCGGAAACCAGCGGAAACGCAGACGGGACAGGGCTGCTGGGGTTTCCTCCCTGGAATGAAGCACGGCCGGAGGATTTGCTGATTCACGAGCAGGCCCTGGTCACCGAGTTCAGGGTAACAAATCCATACGGGTCCTGAGCCCCGTAGCTCCCTGAGCCTCAGCATAAACATCGTAAACCTCCTGGCCCTGGCAGTGTCTGTTTCATCCCCTCCAGAGCAAGTGCAAGTGTGAGATTTAGAGGTTCTAAGAGAAGGGCCAGAGGTCTTGAAAACGACCTTCATTCGTTCATTCATTCGATGAATTGGGGTGGGGGGACCTCCGTGTCCTGTGTTTAGTGAGGCCTGGGATGCAGATGTGAAGGGCGCTGCTCTCAGGAGCAGACGGAGGTGTAGACGAATCGCTACACACCCACCTCGGGCCCACAGAAGGCGGGAGGCTGTGGGTGTGGGGAGGAGACCCCTCCACATCACACTGACGGTGTCGGCAGAGTGGCCAGCTTCTGCAGGAGTGGAACCTGCGGGTTCTTCTGTGACTTGTGTAACTGAATCTTCTGCCTGGTAGTTAGTCTTTTCCTTTTGGGACACTTTGGTAGTTTGGAAATGGTTTCTTCCATCCATTGCCTGCCTTTTAGCTTTGTCGATGGGGTCCTATTGTAAATTTGGGTACATGTTGAATGTGAACAATAGTTATGAGGTGAGTGCCATGAGTTCCTGTGTGCCTGTCACCCAGCCCGGCCACGAGAGGTGCTGGAGGGACTGTCCACATCCCCCTTTCTTAGGACGCCTGAGTCTCGGGTGTGACTTACAGGGTATTTCTTATGGCAAGACGGTTAAAACAAACTTAGGTGTCTCTTCTGTCCTTCTACGGCTCTGGCTTCTGATGTTCTAATGGCATTCTCATCGGCCAGGGCTGAGAACAAAATGACATAGACTGCAGGGCTTAAACAGCAGAAACTTACTCCCATGGTTCTGGAGATAGCGAGTCTCGGATCACCGTGTCGCATGGTCAGGTTCCTGGTGAGGGTCGGATTCCTGGCTAACGGAACCACCTTCCCAAGGCTCCCTCTCCTGATACCGTATCCCTGGGGGTGAGGCTTCAACACGGGAATTTGGGGGACGCATCAGCACTGACTCCATCTCAAATGGTTAGTTCTTTAATCCCCTGGAATGTTGTTTGGGGTTGTGTGAAAGACGGGTCTAACATTTTCTTTTTCAAATACATAGCCAGTTGTCACATCATTTATTGAAAAAGGAATCTTTTCTCCACCGACTGACATGAAATGCTACCATCGTCGTAAACAACGTTCCGGTAAATACTTCGTGCTGTCTCTGCTGTCTCCGTCCTGACTCACGGGCCGACTTCTGTGTCTGCATCAACTATGGCAACTTTACAGCAGGCCGCCTCCCCGAGGCCGTTCAGAAGCATTCCTCAGCGGGTCCTACACGTTTCCTCTCCCACGTCAAGTTTAGAAGCAGTGTCAAGACCCACAGCAGTCCTGCGGGAGTTTTAAGGGATGCGCAGAATTTATGGGGACGGTTGGGAAAACTGACATTCATGTGACTTAGATTCCTACTACTTGGAAATGGATTCCGGCTCTCAACGAATTTAGAGCTTTGGCAGAGTTTTAAAGATTTCTTTGATGTCCGACGTGCTCATTTCTTGGTTTGTTCTTGAGTATTTTCTGAATTTTTACGAAATCCTCAAAGTTTCTGTTATAATGAATGGGACACTTTCCCATAAAATGTTGTAATTCTGTAATGCTGTTCTAATAAACACTGTTGATCGATGTATATTGATGTTACACTTGTGATTGTAATAGTTTGTCCGTTCATTATTTTGAACTTTTTGGGTAAACAGTCATATAATTATGCAAGTAATTATAGTTGTGTCTCTGCCTTTCTAATATTTATACTTTGTATATATTATCACATTGGCTGGGACTCAAGTATAAAATCAAGTGTCTTTCTCTTGTTTCTGACTAATGGGAATGATTCTAATGCGGGGGTTTCCAAACTGGTAGCCGGGGGCCAAATCCAGCCTGTGGTCTCTTCTTGTACGTGGTTTTATTGGAACACAGTTATGCCCATTCTTCTACGTATTGTCTGATGGCTACGTTCAGGCCACAGCAGTAGCGTTAAATAGTCCAGATACAGGCAATATTGCCCAAAAAACCTAGAATATTCACGATCTGAGCCTTTACAGAAAAGTTTGCTGATATCTGTTCTGATGTATTAAATACAATGTTTGTTACGGGTTAAGGAAGTTTCTGACTGGTTTTAGCTTTCTGAATATCTTGTGGTTGTGCGTGCTTTAAAATTAGGACTAAATATTAAATTGACCTGATGCTTGTTAGGGGCCTATCTTTTGAGATGCCCCAAAGTTCCCCTTTTTTAGTCTCTTCATGTAGTGAGTTGTACTAACAGATTCTCTAATGTTGAACCATCTTTGCTTTCCAGAGATTTTACTTCCTTCTGATGGACTGGATTCTGTTAATACTTTTATTTTTGGGTGATTACATCCCTATTATAAAATGTCAGCATCACTGTGTGTAGATGTGTGCGTGTTATTCTTGCCATTAGTTTCTTAGGTTTTTGGTTAACTATTGATATACTTTGGATCTGTGTCCCCACCCAAATCTCATGTTGAATTGTAATCCTCAGTGTTGGAGGTGAGGCCTGGTGGAAGGTGGATGGATCATGGGAGTGAATTTCTCATGAATGGTTTAGTACCTTCCACTTGGTACTGTTCTCGTAATAGTGAGTTCTCGTGAGATCTGGTCGTTTAAACATGTGTGGCACCTCCCTGACCCTCCTGCTTTTGCTCTGGCCACGTAAGATGCAGCAGCTCCCCCTTCACCTTCCACCATGATTGAAGGTTTCCTGAGGCCGCCCCAAAGCTGAGCAGAAGCCAGCATCATGCTTCCCGAACAGCCTGCAGAACCGTGAGCCAATTAAACCTCTTTTCCTTAAGAATCACCCAGTCTCAGGTATTTCTCCATAGCAATGTGAGAATGGACTCACACAACTATATATTATAGAATGAATTGTGATACTTTTGTCTTTTTCTGTGCCTGGAAATAATAGTAATTCTTAGTAACAATTCACCTGTATCAAGTTATTCCTGTGCAGCAAACACACTTCTATATATTTTACATGAGTCAAGTCTTTAACCTGGAATCAACCCTGTGAACTAGGTATTGCTTTCATGTCCATCTGGCGGATGAAGAGGCTGAGAGTTTAAGTAGTCTGCCTAAGGTCACCAGCCACGGGCGGGAAGATGGGATTTGAACTGAGCGGTTGGCCTTCAGAGGACAGGTTCCTAAACGGTCGTTCTGTCTCTCCGTTGCAGAGGTCAGTCCCGCATATTCCCGTATAAAACTGCCTGAGCTTGGTGCTTTTTTAAAGGATATCATTTGACTACTTTTTTTTAAAATTTTCTGTTTCCTGCCCATGTCCCATAGGGCTAATCAGATTTTCTATTTGTGCTTGAGTCAATATTATACTTTATATTTCCCTTTTTGTTGTTGTTTTTATATTTTATTTTATTTTTTGAGACAGAGTCTCACTCTGTTGCCCAGGCTGGAGTGATCTCTGCTCATTGCAACCTCTGCCTCTCAGGCTCAAGCGATTCTCCTGCCTCAGCCTCCTGAGTAGCTGAGATTACACGTGTGTGCCACCTCGCCCAGCTAATTTTTGTATTTAGTAGAGCTGGGGTTTCACCATGTTGGCCAGGCTGGTCTTGAACTCCTGACCTCAAGTGATCCACCCGCCTTGACCTCCCGAAGTGCAGAGATTACAGGCATGAGTCACTGCACCCAGCCATACTTTATATTTTCTAAGAAAATCATCTGTTTAACCTGGCTTTTAAAATGTATCAGTATAAGCCAGAATATGGTAGTTTTATAATTGAAAAAACCTGCCCCGTTTGTTCTCGGTTCCTCTCTCCCTGTGACCCGGGGACTCTGTGTGTCCCAGGTGTCTGCCTGTGTCTTCCCCGAGGTCTTCTGGGTGGAGACTGGGGAGCAGGGGCCAGTCCACAAACACACCTCATATTACCGTTCCCTGTGGGAACCCTCAGCTCTGTGGCCGTCTCAGATTAACACCCACTCCTCCTGCAGAATTTGAAAGGAGAGTTGCTATCACCAAATCCCTTCGGGTCTCAGCATTTACCCAAGTCACCTTGATTCCAGAGATGGCTCTTACCTTGCTTTCTATAAACCAGTACAGAGTGTGTCTGACGGCACACAGGAAAACACTGCCGACACAAAGTTCCTGAACATTTTAAAGAGATGACACAGATGTTTTTTAAAGTGATCTAAATCACTGGAAATGCCCCTTTCTCCCTATTTTGTCAATGGATGGAAATGTGTTGAGAAAGGTTCTTATTGTAAGAGAAACACAACAGAGTTAAAGCTACTAATGCCAATGCAAAACTGGGGAACGGCTGGGTGTGGCTCATGCCTGTAAGCCAAGCACTTTGGGAGGCGAAGGCAGGAGGATTGCTCGAGCCCAGGAGTTTGAGACCAGCCTGGGCAGGATGGCAAGACCTCGTCTCTACAAAAAAACTTTTTTTTTTTTTTTTAAATTAGCCAGGGGTGGTGGCAGACAACTATGGTCCCAGCTACTCAGGAGGCTGAAGTGGGAGGTTGACTTGAGCCCAGGAGGTGAGGGCTGCACTTTTGATTTTGTTTGTTTGTTTGAGATAATGTCCAGCCTGGATGACAGAGCAAGGTCCTATCTCAAAAAAAAAAATGGGGGAAGATCCAGAAAAGTAGGGGACATCAACCATCAACACACTGTAAAACTGTAATCGCAAACACAGTGATGTGTGTGTGCAGCTCACGGGGGCTGAGTGTGTGTGACGCTGCGCAGGCTCACAGGCCCCGGCACGTTTCGGCATCCGTCATCCGCAGATAAGGTGCTGCTGCCAGAGCCGCTGGAGCAGCGTCTGCGCTGGGAGGAAGCCCGTGGGGCTCTTATCATACCCTGCTCTGTGGGAACCTTCCAGACAAGACGGTCACTTCGGGGCAGATATTTCCTAGAGGGGCTTAGAATCAAAATCCCGGAATGAAGCCACGGAATGCTGAGTGGTTTCACAATCAAAATAGAGTTTATGTCAAATATTGAATATTAACAGCAACTAAAGCCAGCCTGGACTGAACAGCTGCCAATGCTCAGCCTGGGCGGGGGCTCAGGACAAGGGGTTCTTATGGAGCCCCTCGAGACCCCCAGGAGGTGGACGCTGCCCCCAGCTCTTGGTGGAGCCCTTGGGCTGCAACAGCAGGAACTGAACCCCACGGGCTTTGGGTCTAGCAAAAGAATGTCTGGACATTAGCGGCAAAAGCAGGTGGGTGGGGAAGCGAGCGCAAGCAGGGGTGCCCTTGATACTGGCTACCCCTCCACATCTCTGTCCGGGCCTCTGCACACGGCACCTCTGCCTCTGTCCTCTGCACACGGCACCTCTGCCTCCGTCCTCTGCACACGGCACCGACTGCTCCGGGGGCGGCCATGCCACGGTGAGCGGAACACGGTTCGAGGAGGGTGGGCCGGGCACAGGGTGACCCATGGGTGCAGGTGCCAGAGCTGGAGCTGGCTGGGCTTTGGGGATCAGTCACCTGGTTCTGCAGATACAGAAGTATGTCAAGTAATCAGCACTTTGACCAGGGCAGGACTCGGATCCAGGCTGGCAGCTGCCCAGCCCAGGGCTCCTCGTACCACCGTGGGCCATGCACTTTCCGAATAGGAGAAGGTCCAGAAGGTGAAGTCTGTGCCCAGGACCTGCAGAGGTGAGAGGTGAGAGGTGAGGGTCAAGCATTCCATACCCCGAGGTCGCTGGGGCCCCGCCCCTCTGCACCATGACAGTCGTCTGGGAGAGGTTTCCCACAGCTGGCCTTCCCTCCAGACCACTTGAGGCTCCCATCGATGGAATGTTCATCCTCTAACTGCAAGGTTTTTCGCAAACCACAGCTTTCTATCTTAATCTCATGAAACCGGGAATCCCAGACCATGAGAAAGTCAGGAAATGGCTTTGAACACCGGCAGGCACTGCTCGGCGCTGGGGGCGGGGGCCAAGCCTGGGAACTGTCTCTGCTGAAGGTCTCGGCCCCACGTAGCCCATCCCTCAGACCCACGTGCGGCTCATCCCCTTCGGCGCCTCTTTTTCGGAGCCCCCCCTACCCAGAATGTCCCCCCCAAGGCACGCAGAGGGTGCCCCTGCGGAGTCTCAGGCAGCTCCTGACTTCCCGTAAGTCCTGGGCGCCACCTGCAAGAGGTGAAGACGCCAGGACTGTGGCTCGGGTCTCTCAGGTGGCTCTCGGGTCAGAGGGCCGCCCTACACCCTCACCTGTCCCAGAAGCCCCCCACTCCCGCAGCTGCCCACTCCCCTCCGGGGGCCTCAGCTCTTCTCTTGCTGCCTCCCCCAGGCCTTGCTCCTGCCTCATCCTCCGTCCTCCTCCGCCTTGGCATCCCATTAACTCAAGACCACCCTTCAGCACTGCTCAGCCCTAGACAAAGCAGAGTTGCCCTGAGACCCCCACCGTCTCCAGTCGGGCCTTGCTTCCTGGAGCACCGCCCGTGCCTGCTGCCTAGTGTGACCTGCCTCGTGCCACCCCCGCGGCCCCGGCCGCCCCTGAGGCTCCCTGGGTGGGGGGTCTGCGGCCACCTCCCTGTCTTCACTGTGGGTGATCCTGTGGCTTCGGCTTCATCCACCCCAAACTCGCCTGCTCCTTGGCATCCACTTGATTTGTCTTGTGCGGGGCAGGTGCTCTCTTCCCCACACGGGGCCTCCCTTGAGGTCACCTGCAGGGGCCTCTGTGGGTTTCCTTGAGAGGGGCCTGTGGGTCCTGCCCCCCATCCGACACCGAGCATTGTAGGACGAGGACGAGGGACTCACATCGGGGAGCCCCCGCCACATTTAGGCCTCATAGCAGCCCTGGGAGTGGACGGGTCCCTAGGGTTGGCCATAGCCCCCCAGTGCCTCCCCGTGAGCCATCCTGACTGCCAGAGGCCCGCGGTGACACCAGCACAGTCTCCCTCTGGGTTCCCACACCGGCCACAGGGCACTCAGGGGCAGGCTTGGTCAGGAGTCTGGTCCAGGAATTGGTACCGACTTTTCCTGGCTTCTAGAAGTTTCAGCTCTGGCCAGGGGTCGGGCCCAGGAGACAGAGCAAAACCCAAAACCCCCTGAGACACCCCACCTTCTCTGGCGGGGCCCCAGGGACCTCGGGGTATGGAACACTTGACCTTCGCCTCTGCCTCTTTTGAGCTGCAATCTGGGGCAGGTGTGCACCTCCCCACTCAGCCCGACAGGAGGCTGATCTAAGCCCTGGCCCCACGCATGGCCACATCCCGGCAGCACGGACCAGATGCAGTCCCAACTGCGCCCGGCACCTCCCGTCTCACAGCTGAGGGTAACCAGGGTGGTGTGGGGCTTGTCCGGGCTGGCAGTTGCTGAGGAGAAGGGACACATGTGCTGACGGAAATGCAGGCCCAGCTCGACGGCGGGGTCAGGGTTAGGATTTCCACGTCATCGTCATGAAGCCTCGAAGCGCTGCCTGTGCTTAGCAGTTAAAACATTCACTTGGAGATATTCAGTTTCACAGACGGCCAGGAAAGGGCGGGGTGGTGCAAAGCATTGCTCCCCAGGGCACGCGGGAGGCGGCCCAGCCCTCGCCAGGACGCTCCCCCACCTCCCTCACTGGGCTGTGGCCCTGGGGACGCTACCACTGGCCTCACACCCTGGGACGTGGATGGGCCGCTCTGGCCTGTCTGCAGGGGAAACGGCTGTCACTTCCATCAGAGACGACGGATGCAGCAGGGCCTGTCTGTGCCAAAACCAGAGTCGAGGCGCATCCCGGCAGCCGGTGTGTGGGGAACCCATCAGTCTCTCTGTGGACGGTCAGGGAGGCCCGATGGCTTTTCCTTCCGTTCCTGTAGGCCCGAAGCCTTCCCCGAACGCACTCGTGACTGGGGCCCGGCCAGCAGGCGTCCAGGAGTCAGCGGCTGCTTGGGGAGCCAGGGCCTCAGGCACACGAGCAAAGGCGATGCTGGCAGGCAGACTGGTAGCTGGGAGCGAAAGGCGTGGCAAGGACCCACCTGGTTGCTGCTGGAGCCCCAGGCTCGTGAGTCGCCTCTGTGTCCTGTCCCCTTCGTTGGGCAGCTTCACCTGCTCAACCTGCCCGGCCTGGGTGTTTCTGCTTCTAAGCGCCCCCCTCACAGTGGTCTTGGGAGGCTGACGTGAGAGAACCCGGCTGACTGCAGTCTCCAGGGAAGCCGGCATTCGGGGTACACAGAGGTCCTGCCTTGGTGCCCAGCCCTGGGACACCCCACAGTGAATGCCTCCTCCGCACGGTCTTCGTGTCCCTGAGCTCCTGCTCAGGCCCCCAGAGCTGGCACTAAGGGTGGATGCAGCAGCTGCTGCACAGGACAGGGATGGCAGAGCCCATCCGAAGGGACACGCCACCTGGAAGCCACTTGCACCGGCTCTGTCTGGTGTCTGCCATGGGAAGGACGTGCCGGAAGCCCAGGAGCGTGTGGGAGGCCTGGGCCTCGGGCTGCGCCCTGGTGCGTGTCGGGAGGACATGTTCTGTGAAGGAGCCGCAGCCACCTCACCTCCTTTCCATGGGTGAGCAGCGTCCTTGCCAGGGGTGTTCCCGGCAGAGGGAGGAGAGCATCACCCTTGGGCCGACACCGCCACCAGCAGCGTCTGGACCACAGAGCTCAGCATCAGCAGCTGCTCCGCTGGACCCAGGGTGGCGAGGGGTTGCAGGCGGCCCCCGTCCAGCAAATGTCACTACCTGGTTATTAGTGATGTTTAATGACAGAAGTGTGGTCACAGCGAATTCATCGCCCTTGGAATTTGAGGCATGCTCTGCCCAGTGCAGTGTCAGGGCTGAGTGGGGCCCCCAAAATCCATATACTGGATCCCCAACTCCCAGGACCTCAGAGTGGGACTGGATTTGGAGATGGGGCTGTAAGGAGGTGATTACAGTAAAAGGGAGTCACTGGGGTGGCCCCGTCCGGTCTGACTTCCAAGGAGGAGATGAGGACGCAGAGAGCACAGAGGGGCCCTGGGAGGACGGGAGGAGCTGTTGACTGCCAGCCAAGGTGATCCTGGAGGCCCTGGCCCCGCAGCATCTGGATGCTGGGCCCCAGCCTGCAGGACTGTGGGAGAATCGGTGTGGGACACCAAGCCTCTGTGCGTGGTCCTCTATCCCTGCTGCCGAGCAGGCTAAACTGACCGCGAGGTTTGGGTGACACTGGGCTGGGCTCGTTATTGATCAGCCCTTGGGCACTGCGAATTCAGCCATTACTCCCTCCCACATCAACCATCTGCCTGTAAACAGGGACTCTCGGACAGCCCTTTCATGAGGCACTAATCCCACCCTTCAAGGTAGAGCCCTCAAGGCCGCTCCCACCTCAGCAGCTCCCCCAGCCATCACACCAAACACAGCCCAGACCAAAGCCAGAAGCTCTCTGAGCTCCAAGGACCGGCTTGCGCCCCCACCTTCCCGCCATGTTTACCTCTCCTACTGTCATCTGTTCAGTTCCAGCCAGACCACGGGGCTTCTCACCGTCCCTCCCACTGCGGCTGCCGTCCTCTGGCCTGAACTGTCTTACCCTTCCACCCTCCTGGCTGAGCTCGCCCGTCTCCTTGGAACGCTCTCACAAGCCCCCTGCCAGAAGGCGCTCGTCTGGACCACCTGACCCCACGGGCCCCTCCCCTGCTCGCTTGGCCACACCTCTCCGTGAGACTGTCCATCTGTGGCAGCCGTGGTGTGGGTGAGTTTCGTCCTGCTAACTCTCCTCCATACCTGCTCCATGCCTGGCAGTGGTGGTCCAGGGGCTGGGTGCCCAGGGTAAAGTGGGGAAGAAGGTGATAGGCACCCAGCCACACGCTCCGTGCCCACCGATCCCTGGGGCCAGCCAGGCTGCAGGTGCCCTCCCCCAGGTGAGAGTCCACTCGGTCTTGCGATTCCAACAGAATAGCCCTTCTCTCCTTCTGTGTGTCTCCAGGGCCAGGGAGGAGATGCTTTGGGCAGAGAGCCCAGGTGGGGTCTCAGCCTGGGAGTGATGGTGCTGCCGTGGTTCCAATGTCTGTGTTCCTCCGAAATCCATATTGAGACTGAATCCCCAGTGCAACAGGGTCCAGAGGTGAGGCCTTCGGGAGGGTTAGGCCGTAAGGGTTCCACCTTCAAGGGTAGGATTAGAGCCTTATGAAAGGGCTGTCTGACTGGCCAGGCCCCTTTTGCCCTTCCACCTTCTGCTATGAGAGGACACAGTAACAAGGGGCCATCGTGGAAGCAGAGAGCAGTCCTTCCCAGACACCAGATCTGCTGGGGCCCTGGTCTTGGACTTCCCAGACTCCAGAGCTGTAAGTGGTACATTTCTGCTCTTTACAACTCACCCAGTCACAGGTACCTTCTTACAGCAGCATGAAGTGGCCGCGGCAGCCTGGGCCCTCCCAGCCCCACCATGCTGCTTCCTGGAGATGCTGGAAGCAGCGGGGACGCCAGCCACACAGGGTGCTTCTCGCTTTTAATTTTACTTTTTATTTCAAAACAATTTGAAATACACCAAAAAGTTGCAAGAACAGTACAAAGAGTACGTATTCTTCACCTAGAGACCTATTCGGGTTTTACCAACTGTCCCAATAATGCCTTTTTTTTTTTTTTTTTTTTTTTTTGAGAAGGAATCTCACTTGGTCCCCCAGGCTGGAGTGCAGTGGTGCAATCTCGGCTCACTGCAACCTCCGCCTCCTGGGTTCAAGCGATTCTCCCACCTCAGCCTCTCGAGTAACTGGTACTACAGACATGCACCATCACAGCTGGCTAGTTTTTATATTTTTAGGAGAGACGGTGTTTCACCATGTTGGTTGGCCAGGCTGGTCTCGAACTCCTGACCTCAGGTGATCCGCCCACCCTGGCCTCCCAAAGTGCTGGGATTACCTGGATTGTGAGACTTCATGCTCATCCTCAACCTGGAGCAGTCTTCAGTCTTTCCTTGACTTCTAAGACCTTGACTCTGTGAAAAAGAGAAAAACTCTCAATTAGGGTTTATTTTGTGGTTAGACCCAGGTTGTCAGTGGAGGGAACTGGTTCATCCGGGTTGGGAGGTGGGCGTACCAATGCGTCCACTCTGGGGGGCATTGACCTTGACCATCTGGGGAACGTGGCGTCTGTAGGGGTCTCCACTGGAAATTCCTTCCTTCTCTATAATTCATACACATTTCGTGGGAACACTCAGAGGTGACGTAAAACCTCATTCTTCACTCCACTTTCACCACGAGGTTTGGCATTGACTGATGTTCTTGTTGCCTGAATTAATGGTGACTGCAGCGGCTGCTGGGGGGAATTCCTCATGCCGTCACTTATCACCTGGAATTCTACTGGGGTGGGTGAGCTTTCTTTTTCCCCCATTTATTAATTAAGTAAATTGACATCTATATAGAACCACAGAATCTCATTTTATGCACAGGCCATCATCTGTTCCTGTTCTTATTTAGTTTATTTTGATGTTACATTTGTCTCAGCGGGGGACCCTTCAGGCTGGCATCTATGTCTTTTTCATGTCCATCCATGTTTTCTGGCATTTTCTTACTTTGCAAACGCATGCACACACATTTCATCTGCAGATTCTTCTACCTATTTGTATTGGGAACCCTGCATTCTGGTGCTTCCAAGTTGAATCTAATACCACGTGCGCCGCTGTGCCTGCCTCTCTACATCGCGCCTCCAGTCGACCCTGCCGGCCTCCCTACACGCGCTCACGTGCTCGGCCTCCTGTGTGTAACCGGTCTCCTGACCCATGGGGCTCAGACCGGCCTAGAGGCTGCGTCGCCTAAAGCTGCCCTCTGTCCTGCTCCAATGCCTCCTCCATGGAGCCCAGACCCCCACCGGGCTCCCTCCCTGCCTGCGTGGGAAGGAGGGGGTCTTTCTGAATCCAGCTTTCTCTGAAGCGAGGGTGGAATCTCTCGTGGATGGGGGGCCCTCGCTCTGCCGCACCCTCTGCGGGAGGCAGCGGTGAGGTGCAGGCTCTGCTAGTCCTAGGGCAGCTGTGCTCAGGCCAGACAACAGAGGAAGGGGTGCCTGCAGAGGCTGCAAGGTCCCCCAGGCCATCCTTGCTGCCCCATCCTCAGGTGCCATGGGGTGGACCTCGCAGGGAGCCTGTCTGGTTCACTGTCCCTGCTGCTTCATCTCTCACTCAGGCCCCGGGACTCTGCCCCAGCCAAAGCCAGCGTGGGCGATTCATGGCTCCCCGCTGCGGCAGCTGAGCACCATCAGAAGTGACCCCATTTGTGACTGTCTTGGCCTGAGAATGTTCCACGGGTGAGAGCGTGCCCCTCCCTGCAGCCAGTGTCCCAGGCTCCCCCGCAGCCCCGGCGGGGGCTGGGCTCAGGCCCTGATGCAACAAGAAGGAGAGCGCTTGTCTCCGGGCAGCCCAGGCGGCCAGACAGCCGGTCCACTTAGCTTCGCTACTGCAGCCACAGCTGCCCAAGGCGCACAAAGGGCCCTTGTTCCCACCCAGCATGTGCTCCCGGCGCCCCCCGCCACGACCTCTCCGGGACATGATTAGGTGTGGGAACTATTTTCCTTGGGGCTGCATTTGACATTTGCCGTTCATTTGGGAGGAGGCGTCTGAACCGAAGGAGCACCCCGCAGCCTCCCCTCTCCATCCCCATCTCAATGCAGGAGGTTTAGGAGCAGGCGGCCCTGACACGCCTGTGACCCCAGACAGGCCTGTGCAGCCCTGGCCTTCATTGCCTTCCACTCAGAACAGGAGAGGCTGGCCCAGGAGGGCAGCGGGCAGAGAGGACGACAGGAAGATGGAGCTGGGGTGCACAAGCACACACATGCATGCATGTGCAAATACACATCAGGAATACACGTGCACAGACACACTCCAGGAAAACACAGCACATATGCAAACCAGGAACACATGTGCACAGACACACTCCAGGAATATGCATGCATGTGCAAATACAAAACAGGAACACGTGTGCACAGACACACTCCAGGAATATGGATGCAAGTGCAAATACACACCAGGAACACACGTGCACAGAAACACTCCAGGAATGTGCATGAACAATACACCAGGAACACACGTGCACAAACACACTCCAGGAAAACACAGCACATATGCAAACCAGGAACACACGTACACAGACATGCTCTAG